GAAGATTCCCTGAATATCAGGGAGAAAGTATTCAGGCTCAGGAGCACGGATAGGGGAAGGTTTAGCTGCTTTGGGCAGCAAAGGGGGCTTGGGGCTCTTAGGTCGATAGACATAAGGGGGATTTTTTGCGCACGAGTCTTACTGGCGCGAAGAGAACGCAGCTCCTTAAATCTGATCACAATTACAGCACTTGGGAATAGTGGCTGCGAATTGCTCCTGAGTGACTGGGTCAAATGCAGGAGGAGGAAGTTGACACTCGCCACGAGGATGTGTCTCACCACAGCGCACACAACGGTGAGGATAGTTGCACAGCTTAGATGTGTGAAAATAGCGTTGGCAGTTAGAGCATTGAGGGATCTCATTGCGAGATTTCTGCTCCAGTGATATAATAATGTTAAGCGATGAAAGCCGCTTAACAGTTAAGAGGGATTTAATGTCCGTGGAAGGAACAGGATGAAGCTCCGAAATGCAGGAATTGGCATATCGGGAGGGATTACGCTTTGTGAAGCGCGCGAGGGGAGAAAACTTGGAGACCTTCGAAAAGGTGAACTCAGGTAAGTCCGTCGCCAATGCCGACTTCAAGTCATCCTCATCATAGGATGAGGGAAAGTTCTTAAGGAGGACAGGAGTGATTCGGTCCTCTGAGGGGATAGAGGCAAAGCCGTTAACTTTCTGCTAACGGAGCAGAGAACTGATGTTGTAAAAGGTATAATTACTCTTAGTAAGAATACGCGTGGTAGTGCTATTTACGCATTTAAACTCATAAACAGCATTAGGAAAAGCGGATTTTATTGCGGAGCCAAGCTCCTTGACATTGACGCCACGGGCCGTAATGCCAGGTGGCGTCAAAGACTTAGTGGCCGAAGCCAAGGAAACAGTAGAAGGAACGGAGGGATTGGGTCCCACAGGAACCTTGGGAGCTAAGTAAGGCTTGGAGATGGGATTAGCGATAGACAAAGATTTGGGTCTTGGCGCTGGCTTGGAGAGACTAGAAATGCTACAGACAGTAGCTGTGGAGGTGGAAGGGGGTGCAGTAACTGCGGCGAGGGAAGAAGAGGAGGACTTTGGTGGGTTGCCCGTGAGCAACGACAGTTTAGTTGCAAGGAAGGAATTCTCAGCACGAAGCCGGGCGTTGTCAGCCTTAAGGGATGCAACGGATTTTAAAACTGACTCAAGTTGCTCATCAACTTGCTTACGGTTTAGGGGATCAACAACAGTCCTGGTGCGTTTCAATGAGGGGGATGGAGAGATCGTCCTAACATTAGAGCTAACCTTAGAGGGTTGTGGGTCTCCATCTCCATCTTCCATAATTGCGAAAGAGAATTAGAAAATTTAATGTAATTCAGATATTGTTTGAAAGGTAAGAATAATTTAGGAAGGAAAGGAAAAATAAGGAAAAATGAGACTGAAATAGAAGGTGAAAAAGATATTAATATAAATGTCTGTAAGTGCAATATAAATACAATATATAATAAATATAAATTGAATGTAAATATAATTACAAATATAGATATACAGTATACAGTAAAGTATATAGGAACACAGTATAGTACAGTTGATTGATAGTTTTTTTGTATTTTTTTTTTTTGTATTTTATTTTTGTAATAAATCTGGATATTGAATTTGTCCATACCTTTACTTGCATTACAAATATAATTAAGTGTTAGCACAGCAAATAGAGAATACTTTACTTTGTGTGTATTAAAGTATAAATATAATCTTCGTTATAATGAAATAAATATAATCTAATAAAAAATAATGAGTGCATCAGATTATATTAACTTATTTAAGGTCATGCATACTTCTTAATCAAAAATATTTAAATCACTGGAACCGGCAAGAATACTAAGTGAAAATAAACACAGTTAAAATATTTTTTATGATAAACCAAAAAACATGAAAAACTTTTATGTTAATTTTGGAATAGCTTTTTCAAACAAACTTCCACCTTCGTCCCTAGACTGCAGATATGAAAAGTTCATACATTATTTTCGATATTACAACCAAGGAAATCACTCCAATAATTTTCTCTGTACCCCACATTCATCACATCACATCACATCTCAACTCTTCTTTTTTCGGTTTGTTATTACTTAAAAATGAATGTAAATATATGAGAACATGAAATAGCGTTGTCCTTTTGAAACCAACAAATCCCTAAATGGATTAAAACTAATTTCTTACTATGCTAACAAAGTTATGATGTATTTTTTGTTGCATTTTGTGCTCTTCACGTTACTGTCATAATAAAAATATTAAAAGAGCTTCATTCATGAATGTGCCTGTTTCCTTCGACAATTTCATTTAATTTTAATGCGATACTGCATAAGGACATAAAAATATATTTGATAATACGGACTCAGCCGTTTCAAGTTTTTTTTTTGTTTTTTATAGCGACTTAGACAACTGCAGGGCAAAGCAATGCAATTTTTATTGCTTTGAAACTTGAAATATTTATTTTGAATTTATTTAGTAAGTTGTCCTTACAGGACCTTTTTATATAACCTCATTTGCATCAATTTGTAGCCGAATATATTGAAAAGTTTAGGGGATTGCAATTTCTTTTTGAATTGAATTACATTTGGAAAATCACACTTGATTCAATATCATTTGAAGTGATATTTAAAAAACTTCAAGCAGAATAACAAAGATTAGAGCTAAAATGAAAAGACGAGAAATCTATATTAAGTAGTATGTAACCAGAAGCGAAAATATAGACAAGTAGAGAGAGTAAGAGTCAAATACTAATACTAGTTTTGTTGTCATGAAGGTATATTTGAAAGCCAATGGTCTTTTAGTGAATTAGACTCTAATAATTCTGTCGAAGATAGATTACATAAAAAAAATTGAAGGATTGTACTCTGCAAAATAAGTTTAAAAAATTCTGACATTTAAGTAGATCAAATCAATGTCACATATCATTTAAAAATCACAATAGCCTTTTCCTCTTTCAGACTAGCACTAAAAATTGTGACATTTTTATTAATATAATTTAACAAACGAACGCAAAACCTGTATAAAAATTTTCATTACCATGAGAGTTCTCATCTCGGCTATCACCAAACATTATCTTTTTTAAAAAAATTCCCATTTTCACATTTAATAATGATTAACAAAGCAATTGTATTAAAAATTTTTCTAAGTGCTCTAAGACAAACTATCAAAACAAGAAAATTGGAATTTCATTTCAAACTTATTTAATGAATGCGGTCCTATAAAAAAGGGCATTTTTATTATTTCACAATGTGCATGAATCTGAAATGTTAATAATTAATATCATCACATTGCAATCAGATCGTAACATCTCTGTCGAAATTTTAAAATCATACACAGACAACTCGAATATTACCTTTCAAGTAAAATTTGTGTTGATGTGTGAATCAGCTGTTTTGGTTTCAATTTGAATTTTCGAATTGTTTAATTGCGCGGCATTGTAAGAGATTCAAATTGTAATGAAACACGAACAGAAAATAACTTGCATTGAAGTGCTTATATGTATATTGCATATGTTTCACTAATTTATTTCATTAATATTAAAACAAAGAACTTAATTTTAACCTTAAGTAGCCTTAAGATTACATTATATAAATAAATATTTAATTCTAATTTAATATATACTTAAGACTATAATATATTCAAGTTATCTTTAAGTTATGAAACTTAAAACTATATTTAATTACTTCAACCTGATAAAAGTAATAATCATTATATTTTCTTTTATATCATATGAATTGAATACTTTTTACTTTTTTAAAATTTCTTCCAACATCTTCAGATTGTTTTGTTTTCGTCTTTCGTTGCTTTTCTGCAATATTTATTCAAAATTTTCATAATGTTGTGGCCGGTCTTCTCTCATTGCTGCGATAATTGCAGTTGCACCATCGGAATGACGATTGGATCCTTTCTCTATTTAAAAGAAGATATATTGAAATATATCATAAACCATTAATGTAAATCGTAACTATATACCTGCATGTGTGGCACTGGCTGAAATAGAGCTAGAATTAGCTAGTGGAGTACTCTCAGCTAAAGTGAACCCCTATTACTGGATAGTATTTTATTCAGTTCACTAAAAACAAGGAATTCATAGAAGTTAATAAGTGTTTAAATATGCAAAAATATATCATAATTAACACAAGCAATTTTAATAGTGTGGTCATTTCTTTGACTTTACTCCTCAACTTACGGCATTTGACAACGTTTTTGATGTTTGTAGATACTAATGACAGCAGCACTTTGGTAAAATTGTTTGTGCATATGCATTTTGACTCTATCAAATAGACACACTTGATTTGTATATAGACAGACAACTAAATAGCTATTGTCTTAAATAATCTATAGTTCTCAAATTACATATTAGTAAAATAAAAAATAAGTTAAATTGCTGCTAATATGCAATATTTTACTTATTTAGTTACTTACTACATTATACTTAAAAATATTTAAAAATGTTACAACTAAGAAAAATTACATATTGTATATATAAGTTATCACCACCGAGCTTCTCACTAAACGAGCTTCTCATTAAACGAACTTCTTATTAAACCAGCTTCTTACTAAACGAACTTCTTTCAAAACGTGGAGAGGAGGCAGTTACGAAACGTGGTGTAGAAGTAGTTAGAAATAGTGGTAAACGAGCAGCAGCAGCAGTTGTGAAGTGCAGTCGCAATAATTAAATAATTATATAAAAACTGCGAATAAATCAAATAAATAATTTATATACATAAATTTGTATGTGTGTTGTGTTGCTCTATAGTTCTAATGGTTAGTGTACCAGTTATCACCAATACAATATTTTTTATTAAATTTTTTAATGTCATCAATAAGATAATCTTTATTATAATGACTTTTGTAAATAATTTGCTTCTTTGCTTCTTTATGCAAATACATTTATACTTATTTATTTGCATGTACATACCACGATTATTGTTTCATATAGGTTCGTTTAAATATTGTTAAATTTAATATAAAAATAAAAAACAACAAATAAAGAATTCAAGTAAAGAGTTCTTAGGATAGCGAAATAATTTATTTTTTTTTGGACTCTTTCTCTGCTTCTTCGCTATAATCTGGATGCTTATTTAATGACCGCGATGCCAACTCTTCCAAATACAAGTAGCGTGCATCATTATATTGTCTGTCAAACCTGGGAAAGGCGTTGGGACGCATATCTACTTCAGTAAAATTGAATGATGGTATGCCGGCAATGCACTGAGCTAAGTAACTTGGAGGAAGTTCACGCTCATTAGTAAAAGTAGGCACAACACCAGCAGCACTTACTTTATCACTTTTACTACCAGTATCACTAGCACCATCCCTCATATCATGTCCAGACTGTTCAGAAGTGGGACCATCGTCCGGCGAGGATGAGCTACCGCTATCAGTTCCACTAACTGAACCATCCATAAGCAATTCCTCGCTGCTACTACTGCTGCTTCTTTGACTGGCGCCAACTAGTGTGGAACTTGATGATGGTGATAAATCATCCGGAACTGAAGGATATTCCGACCCAATACCATAGTAATCGGCACAATCTCTTATTGCTGAATCACGAAAATCGGCCAACCCTGAGTAAAACACATCCCTAAATTCGTTGGCTTTAAGGCGTGCATCCATTTCTTCCTCCTCGTCCCTTGTATCACTGTTTTTTTCTGCATAAGTTGGAGGTTCTGAAAGCCCTTCAATATTAGGGAATTCGAAGTCGGATGTAGAACCCGCTGCATCAGCTGTGGACGAAGATACGTCGATTTTTTTGTCTTCGTCACTAAGATCGTCAAGTTTTATATGTTGCATAGTTATCAAAGTATTAACTCCAACGCTTTTCTTCCTAGGCATAATCCAAATTCTGCGATGTCTTAATAAATCATTGTAGATACTATTAGATTAAGAACATTTAAAAGAAAAGTACTTACCCAAATGGAGCCTGGTCAGACATTATTATGCTAATATGAAAAATTTTGGATTTATTGTTCAGTGAACAATTTTTACTGGATTAAAAATTTGAAACTATTTATATGACACTTTATTTTTTATGTAATACATATACATACTACATGTTTATAAATAATAAATATACTTCTGTGCTAACTTCGATTTTTATTTTTGTCTCCATGTATGCACATTGTAACAACACATTGAATATTCTTAAAGGTAGGATGAAGTGTGCCTTTCATACAATTCGAAATTGAATCATATGAATCGTATAAGGAGCAAGACTTAACTCTTATATACATATTACAACAACAACAACAGTAATTACAAAGGCAGTAATGATTATGTTTATGGACCAGGCAAGAGATACTGGGAAGCTCTGGAAAATAATGCAACTATCTTTCAAGTGGAAATATACGCGAAAGATAGATGCGCCAATTTCAACCTTGAACGTAGCTACCGGAATCGTAATATCGCAATACTGACTGACAGCCAGGCAGCTATAATGGCACTCATATCCTACCAGCTATCAACTAAACTAGTATGGGAATGCATTGACAAGCTGAACATACTCGGCTGGAACAATCAGGTGCACCTAATATGGATTCCGAGACATGCTGGTGTCCTAGGCAATGAAATGACAGACAAACTTGCAAGAAGAGTCGCAGCCTCAAGATAGGCCCAGAACCATTCCGTGGCCTAGCTAAAGGAACTCTATCTATCCATATGGCTGGTGCAGAGAAAAAAGTAAAGTAAGAGAACGTAAAGTAAGTAAGGGAAAGGATATCAGGACTCTCACAATCTGAAATGCTGTTAGGGACTTACAATCTCAAATGCTTCAAAGATTGTATAGCACAATCAAAAAACAATCTTTTATTGACCGGTCACTGTATTTTTTACGGGACTGTTGACTGGTCACTGTAGATTGAATAATCACCTATCGAAGTTAGGAATTTAATCCAACTCAGACTGCAGATACTGTAAAGAAGAGAGGGAAACTGCATACCATGTGCACAGCCTGATGCACAAATGGAAGAAACACCTAGGAGGGTATTTCATGGATCATAAAGATTTAAGACTAGGAAAGGTAAGCTCCATACTGTCTTTCATTAAAGAAATCGGACTTGGAGAAACACTATAACCCGACTAAGGGGCACAATAGATCTTTTAGGTCGCAGTTCACAACCCTTTCTTTTTAATAATAATAATGATAATTTTCCCCCAGTCACAAATCATGAACAGCAAATAATATCTCCTCAAGGATCTTAAGGATACTTGAATTCGGTTTTGAATTATGGATTACTACAAAAAATAATAAAAGGTTGTTTATATTAAAATTAAGTTAGGTTTCTAGGTTGACTTGGCCGAACTTTGATAAGAAAAGAACCAGTCAGTTACTTCAACTAAGACGGAACCTGCTCAGCACTACGGTATCTGTGCTGACGGGACACTGCGTAATAGGAAGGCACGCTATGAGACTGGGTCTCCCCTTTAACGACTTTTGTCGAGGTTGTGGCTCTGAGGATGAGGAGGAGACTGTACTCCATCTCATGTGTCAGTGCCCTTCCCTAGCCAGAAGAAGATTAAAAATCCTTGGATCTCATTTTCTAACTGACCTGACTGAGTTGTCATCCTGTAATGTTAGGGACCTAGCCAAGTTCATAGAACTGTCAGGTTGGTTTTCCTTTACCTAATAGGGGAGTCATTACCTTTCTTCGGCGTTAAATGTATACTGATTAAAATCTATATACAAATAACGTAACTCCTGTGGTACCACAATGGGCCTTTATTTGTGCTTAAGTGGGCTTTTTGGGATACAAGGCCGCCACTCCAACCTATACCTATACCTGTACCTTCTCCGTGTTCTGGACAGTTATTGCACACTGCTATTGCACACGCGTGTTCTGGACAGTTATTGCACACTGCTATTGCACACGCAGGCTTCCCTTTCTTTGTACATGTGTGTTTAAATAAGCCTACACAAGTTGGCGTAATATTCATCAATACAATTAGCTACACTAGTATGTAAACATCACATATAAATATACGGATATATATAAAAAAAATTGCATTGCACGGGTATCCATGTTATGGTTCCGAAAATAAATATGAACAAAATGCATATGGGTCATTCTTTTACAACTCGGACACCTTTTTGACCTCATGATCTCCGATTTGGCTAAAATTTTTTTTTATGAGCTCCTTTCATAAAATAAGAAGACCCGTATCTCGGGAAAAAATTTTGTGATTTGAGAATTGGCCCATGGGGTTTTGAGAATTGGCATAGTAGACACATTTTCAAATGGCTATATCTCAAGTTCTATTAAAAGCTAGAAACTTGAAATTTACAGCGTTTCAAAGATAATTGATTGAACTTTTATAAAATTGTTTAAACAATTAAAATTGTTTATATTTAAGTACTAATATTAACTATTAAATTTCAAAAAAAAATTTTTCTTAAAATATATCCCATGGGATTCCATTTTTTATATTTTATTTAGATTCAGTTTTAAATTCTACTACGAATTAAAAATTTTCAGGAATCCGTTATTTTTTGAAACTTTTTAATATTTTTTTTTCTCCCGCAAAACACATCAAGCACATGCGTACTACACTTTCCTTGAATGAATTTTCAAAGAATATACTACATATATTCTTATATAATATTTTTGATTTCGATAAGTAATAAAATTCTATATAAAACCCAAAAATTTCAGAACGATATTGTAATTAGAAGTACTTTTAAAAATTTATTTATCCTTTATATCACACCAAACACATACACACGATTTTTCAGTAAAAAAAAAAACAAGGAATATGTCACACAAATTTTTTTTTATTTTTGATTCAAATTAATATAAAAAATCTACTTCAAAAATAAAGATTTCCTTTGTGATATTCATTTTAGAAGTAATTAAAAAAAATTAATTAATCAGGTGTCCTTCACGTTATTCATACGCACCAAAGTACCATGAAATCAATTTTCGAAGGAAAGCGATACAAAAACTTTTACTTTTTATTTCTGAATTGAGTTTATCATTAAATTCGACATAAAAATGAAACTTTTAGGGACGTTAGTATTCTCAGTTCGTATTATTGAATAAATAAATCACAAATTTAAAATTTTTAATATTCCTCTAAGATAACTCTAAGAATAGCGATGAAGAAGAGGAAAAGTTTATTGGCACAGCAGATAGAACTATGAAAATAAAAATAGTGGGTGTGATACATAATTGGTCTATCCGAAAGGGTCACCACTTACTTCTCAAACGCTACAAAATGTATGACTGCTGTTGTCAAAAAACTTACTTCAGAGAAATGAATCTTAGAAGACCGAAATCCAAAAAGCCACCGCTAGGAAAATATGTAACCAATAGAATTTAAAATTTTTACGAATGTGAAGAAAACAGTCAAGTAATACCTAGGAAAAACATCTGCGTACCCGTACAAATTGACGGAAAAAGAACACAAATCCAAAAACGACTCATTCTAAACAATGAGTTGCATACTCTTTTTAAACTCAACCATCCGGATCTTGAATGTAGTTTTTCAAAATTTGCATCTTTACGACCACAACATTGTGTTCTTGTAGGAGCAAGCGGCACACATTCAGTTTGTGTGTGCTCCATACACGGAAACGTACGATTAATGGTAGATGGAATGATTATAAAAGCACTGACTGGATGCAGTAGAATGCCGATAAATAACTATAAAGATTGCCTACAGCGCATGATTTGCAATACGTCACGCACAGAAGGCTTTCAGAACCTCCAACTTATGCAGAAAAAAACAGTGATACAAGGGACGAGGAGGAAGAAATGGATGCACGCCTTAAAGCCAACGAATTTAGGGATGTGTTTTACTCAGGGTTGGCCGATTTTCGTGATTCAGCAATAAGAGATTGTGCCGATTACTATGGTATTGGGTCGGAATATCCTTCAGTTCCGGATGATTTATCACCATCATCAAGTTCCACACTAGTTGGCGCCAGTCAAAGAAGCAGCAGTAGTAGCAGCGAGGAATTGCTTATGGATGGTTCAGTTAGTGGAACTGATAGCGGTAGCTCATCCTCGCCGGACGATGGTCCCACTTCTGAACAGTCTGGACATGATATGAGGGATGGTGCTAGTGATACTGGTAGTAAAAGTGATAAAGTAAGTGCTGCTGGTGTTGTGCCTACTTTTACTAATGAGCGTGAACTTCCTCCAAGTTACTTAGCTCAGTGCATTGCCGGCATACCATCATTCAATTTTACTGAAGTAGATATGCGTCCCAACGCCTTTCCCAGGTTTGACAGACAATATAATGATGCACGCTACTTGTATTTGGAAGAGTTGGCATCGCGGTCATTAAATAAGCATCCAGATTATAGCGAAGAAGCAGAGAAAGAGTCCAAAAAAAAATAAATTATTTCGCTATCCTAAGAACTCTTTACTTGAATTCTTTATTTGTTGTTTTTTATTTTTATATTAAATTTAACAATATTTAAACGAACCTATATGAAACAATAATCGTGGTATGTACATGCAAATAAATAAGTATAAATGTATTTGCATAAAGAAGCAAAGAAGCAAATTATTTACAAAAGTCATTATAATAAAGATTATCTTATTGATGACATTAAAAAATTTAATAAAAAATATTGTATTGGTGATAACTGGTACACTAACCATTAGAACTATAGAGCAACACAACACACATACAAATTTATGTATATAAATTATTTATTTGATTTATTCGTAGTTTTTATATAATTATTTAATTATTGCGACTGCACTTCACAACTGCTGCTGCTGCTCGTTTACCACTATTTCTAACTACTTCTACACCACGTTTCGTAACTGCCTCCTCTCCACGTTTTGAAAGAAGTTCGTTTAGTAAGAAGCTGGTTTAATAAGAAGTTCGTTTAATGAGAAGCTCGTTTAGTGAGAAGCTCGGTGGTGATAACTTATATATACAATATGTAATTTTTCTTAGTTGTAACATTTTTAAATATTTTTAAGTATAATGTAGTAAGTAACTAAATAAGTAAAATATTGCATATTAGCAGCAATTTAACTTATTTTTTAT